TGCAAATAACTGTAACGGACGCTGTAGGAGAGAGGAATAACGTCGTTGGAGAGACAAAAGTGAGTAAAAAACACCCTAAATAAGTTTCGAACTACAAATGTACAAAAATAATTTCAACATTAACAACATTTAATGATTTTAATGCTTTGTCTAGATCTGTCGCTAGTCGCTTTTTTGAAAAAAAGTCGCTATAGGGTCTGAAAAGTCGCTAAATCTAGCGACAAAGTCGCTAAGTTGGCAACACTGCCCGCGTCCTCTAGCCTCTACAGCGCTGCTTAACACCAGGGCTTCGACTTCAAAATTCGAATATAATTCTAAAATTAAAAAAAATATATATTCGAACAAATATTAGACAGCCCTTATAATTCGAAATGTATTTAATGACTGCAAATAAAATAGTTAGCTCCCAAAGGTTCCACCGGGACGTGCTGGGCAGGTAACAGCTAAGCTAGCTAGCTGTTTCATGGTAACTTCCGGGTTTTTCGCGATCGCTTTTTGTCACGTTAAAACAGTATTTTTGTCATGAAAACGTTGACAGCAAATTCTGAAATCGTCCGTGCATGTGTGTTAAGGATGTATATGTGTACTGTATTGTCCGATTAACGTTTAATGGTGTTGATTGATTGATATGTATTTGTTTATTGAGTGTGGCTAGCTCCGCTAGCTTCTCTACACAGACAAGTGTGCAGAAAACTGCACAATGTAGTGACAGGCGCTGATAGCTTGTACTTGCAAAGTAATGGCAGTATTTTACACACCTGAACTACAAACAAAGATTGCATTGTCAAAGGGCAGCGGTCATTATTGGTTTGAGAGTTCTGTTATCAAGAAAAAATGATCGGAAGAATTACATTCAAGTCAATGGAGTGTTCTGTTGCTGTGAGGAGCTGTATAATAAATTATAATTAAATATTAGAATATATTCTAATGTTTAAATGAATACATTCGGACACGAAACTAGCGGTATTCTTTTACTTATATATTGTATTAGCAGTGCATTGCTTCTGTACCATTTCATCAGTGATTGTTGTACAGCTTACAAGAACTTGTGCAAATGCTAATGTTAGCATACATATCAGATCGCAAATAAAACTAGGTGGCTCCGTGGGATGAGAGCGTAGGGGAAATGAGAAGCCTGTGAGCGAGTTGGGGGGCGGTGCTAAACATTCAAACATTGCAGAAACGGGTATAGCTCCTTTAAATTCACGGGGCCATGGTATAAACGGATTAACCGCTAACCAACTCGGAGCGTCGTGGTGTTCCTTAGCGAATTGTTATTTAATCCACACTTAAATGAGAAGTCCCAAATAATCTTAGCTGCATATTTGAGTAAATAAGTCAATTCGCCAATTGACATTTCGTACTAATCTCAGAAGCAGTAGCGATGACATTATAAGGTCTAGAGACTCACCAAACGCTAGCCTGGCTCTGCCAGACCCTTGTAGTTCCGCCATGCTCCACCAGAGGCGTTTGGCTGAAGTGCAGCGAACTACATGGGTCTGGCGAGAGTCAGGCTAACCAAACGCAGCTCTGGTCCTGGTTCGTCCTGTCCGCCGAGTTTTGCCACTGGATCCGCGGTGAAAGCTGATGAATGATGGTCTGTTCACATAAGCAAGTTCTGCAGTAGAGAGCCTGTGGACGAGTCCGGTCCCGGTTCCGAAGAGGGCCGTGGCTTTAGCGCCTTTCACCTGAGCTTCTGCCACTCCACACCACGTTCCCGCTAGAACGTGCCCTCGGGATTTCCGCACATGTGACATCACAGTACACTTTTTCCTTTTTTCTCCCCGTTTTATTCAATGTCGCAAAAAATATGTGATTTTATATTAATATAAACTCTTCAAGAAACAGTTTTGTTATGCAATTCTGACCAAAACACAATGTCTTCTAATTAGAAAACATGCTATCCAATCCAAAGGTTGTTGGACTAGAGCAGAGAAAATGAATATGATTCCACCTCTGTTGCATTATATATAGGTTCAGTAAAGACAAATGCCTCAAAGTATACTCTATTTTTCCTTTTTGGAAATGTGCCCTTCGGAACTCTGTTATGAGCAATCCTGCCCAGGGATCCAAACGTTGACCCTTGGCTTGGTCAGGACAACAGGAGGACGCCACAAATATTTACAAAACACCACAGTAGACTTAAATAGACAGACTTAATTAATAAGGAAATAGTAGCATGCACTTTCAGCTACAATTTATTTAATCAAATAATCAATTGTGGAAATGACCAACAGAACACAAAAGACAAACAGCATGTTCTTAGAATTTACTTTATTCATATTTGCATTTTATACTAGAATCAAGTCTGTTTAACATGATAGGTTTAGGAGGATTTTCCCAAATGTCAGGAAAGAACCGCTCCTCCACTTTCTGAACAAAACTCTGGTCTTATTTGACGAGCGCATATCACAAGAATGATTGACAATTGGGAGGATCAATAGTCTTGATGATCCACCAGGAAACAGAAAATACTCCTGTATGTGTAGAAACGTCCATCATTGTTCTTTTAAACTCTTCACATTATCTGTTTGAACAGACGGACTGTGTTCAGTAAGTGATCTAATAGCCTTTTGTATTGTCAAATGTAATGACAACAGATGTGTGGATACATGTAATAGGGACAGTTCTACAAATAACATTATACAAATTATAGGCATATAAGACAATGTAACCCTTCCTTCATCATTTTTTCCAGTTTATATCAATTATGAGAGAGATGAAAAAATCATGTTTAATTGAGTATTGAAGGTACCTTTACATTTAAATAATATAATACAAGGACATAATGGGCAACATTGACTTTAAGGACACTTTAAACCATGTTGCTTTCTCATGACATTTATCCAGTCAAAACGCCACTTTTCTGATCATTCTCACAAGTACAGGGGTATTCTGATCAGAGGTCTTCTCAAAAAACGTATTACCTATAATGAGATTTACTTTATCACTGTATCAAATGATTTATTATACTCTCAAAGCATTAGTCTCTCTCAATATTGTGGAATTGAGCCAATATATAAAAAAAAAAAAGGGAAAATATCTGACCTAAAAACACAAGAACAAAATCATAACAATGGCTTATGTAAAAACGTCCAGTTCCACTGTAAAAACTACTGTAAATATATATTGTCATGCAATCTATTTCCTAACAACTTGAAAGCTTCCCATGAAGAAACAAAATCCAAACTCATACACAAGAATGCAATGAAATTATGTGAGGATAATAGTGAAAGATAAATGTTTCTATTTTGCCCTGATTGTCATTTCACAAGTTTGTTGTACAGTGCTGAAACAGATGGAATAAGATGTTACTCTATTCTAATGCATATGGTTCATGGATGTATTGCATACTGAGCTCAGAGGAAGGAAAAGGAATTGGACCACCTGTCATAAGCACAGCACTATAGATCTACTTTTGATTATTCCTAAATCTTAAATAGTTCCTGCTTCATGATGAGTGGCCTAAAACCCAGAGCTCCAGACACCTACAGTGTTGAAAGAACTTCAAGTTCATGGAGACTGATCAAAATGAAATAATTGTGAATGTGGAGTTGTACATATAGTAAGACCTACAAAAACAAAAATAGCATTTAACACAATATAATTAGACTTCCTGTTAAACATACTAACTATCTAAATGTAATACTTGTTTCACAAAACAGACAGATAACATGCATCCGCACTCGCCTTTCAACATGCTGCCTGATTCATCTTCAGTCAGAACCCCAGGATCATCACAAGTAGTAGAGTAGAAACAATTCTGAAGACATTTTTGTAAAGTAAAACGTGTAGTTTGAAATCTTGAGGCCAGTGCAGTTAAAACATAATTATCTCATTATACTATGACCTTCATTTCAATTTAAGTGCACTTAATTTGAACAAATGTGGATTGCAGCTGGGGTGCCAAACTTTTAACATATTTTCCGTATTCTGCTTTATCTCCTAGTCTCAACAAACATAGATCTGTGTGGGGGTAAAAATGCTACATATTGTGTTTTTTTATACAGAAAACGATTGAACCCTAATCAACTTTTTCAGACAGAGAAGTGAAAAAGAGAGGACCCCCTCACTCAGCTCTCAGCCCAAAGTGTTAAAAAGTGACTCACAAGGCTCTTTCTTACGAGTGTGGGAACAACGCTTTCTAATTAAAAAAAAGGCAGCATGTTGTGGTCTGATTTGTTCAAAACATTTTACTTTTACAAGACTCTTTCGGTTGGGGCAAAAGTGCTACCCAAAAGTGCTACTTTAGCTACCCAAGCTTTTACCCAATAATTTGTGGATTATTTCCCAGAGTCAGCTTTTTGCCAAATAAAATTGGTATAAAAGTTGGAGAAAAAAAAAAAAAAAAAACATTATTCTGATGTAACACTAGAAAAAATGAGCTTGAATGTTACACACCCAGGCAGAAATTATTTGTTTAATGAGAGCTAACACAGGCACTTTGTTTAGAAAGTCTGAAGCCATTATTTGCCAAATAAAAAACGTTTTCTATTTTCAAATTAGAAGGACAGCAGAAACTACCCTTCTGAGATTTAGCGTGTATGAGGTTCTTTATCCTCTCTGATGGACAAGCTGACCATTACTCTTGGCAAAAAGCCTCCAGTTTCTGATAACTTCTGGGCCGCCTTGCGTGAACAGAAAATTTGATATATCCCCAGAGCGGCTCAATGATGTCATCATTTGAAAACAGGAAAACACATTTATTTGACATTTATATACGGCTTCGCGCACCCACTAACAATAAATGTATTGATGTATTTTGAATATTATGAATGATAACACAATGAAATATATAGTTGGTTGTGTAAATGTTTGTATTGTGACAAGCCTAGTAAGTGTGGCAAATGTATTCCAGTTATCTACGTAATTGCTTTGAATCGAGAAGCGCCAATACTGTAGTCCATGTTGAGTCTCCGTCCTCAGTACACGGCTGATCCTCTTTGCTTCATCACTGATTCCCTTGTCCTCATTGTCCTGAGCGTCTCCGCTGGCAGAGTCTATGTGGGGAAACAGATGCCACAGCACTCCATGCAGATCTCCAGGCAGTCGGAGGACTCGCAGCAGGCGTCCATGATTCCGCAGTCCATGTCACAGGGGCAGTTACAGTCGTCTCCCAGGTCTTCTCCAGCACAGCAGCAGCAGCAGCCCTCCGAAGTGCACGTGCCGCAGGAGGCTTGGGCCACCACCATGTTACACAGCGTCAGGAACTCACAGAACAGGCAGGCCAGGATGCAGTGCACGCAACAGTCTGCACACAACCACACAAGACATAAGAGCTCGGTCAATCTGATGCATTACTTTACAGAGATTATATTATACTACACATTGTGCTGGACACCATTTTGGAGACATATCACATTTTTCAGATGAACCTTGCGTATTTAGGTTGAATTCAAGTGACATCACAACTTTCCAAAGAGCCTGCCGTTTTAAATTATGTTGGAGGGCAGTTGAAAAATCATTCCTGGTAACTATGGTAACAGTCAAAAGTCAGACTTCTCGTTTTACTTTAGAGCTATATCCTGGGCCAATAGAAAAAAAAAAACTTGTCACAAAGTTTCACATTCCTTTTAGTACATTCCACTATGGTTTGTATTTGTTGTTTTGAAGTGGCGACTGTATTAAAAAAAAGCATGCTATTGGTCACTCAAACATTTCTTTCAAAAAGGGCTTTTTTGCCACTAGAGTTGTATTGACACCCACTCTCCAACTGAAATAGCCCTCTAAAACATGAGCGTTGAACCAGTTTGTGATCTCTGTTATGATGGATCATGTTTAAAGTACCACGACAATATTTCAAAATTGAAGGACAAGAACAAGAGCTTTCTTGTTAATTCAACACTTTCTATACAGCTTAGCTTCCCACAAACCTTTACAAACTGTTTTAGGGCGATCTTAAATCAGGGCTTTCTCAGAGCTCCACCAAAAGGGATAAAAAAGACTGACATTCCTTTGCTTCCTTGTTATTTAATTTATAAAGCACTTATAACTAAAACAAGTTAAATCAAAAAATATAATGATTTCAAACACTGAAAAGTTTCTCCGTCAGTGTCATCAAAGCAAAATTGAATGTAAAAAAAAAACATATATACACGCCTTTTGCGTTTAAAAACAAGTCAAAAAACAGATTCACAATAAAAATATTTGTTGCAGAACGTATGTGGGGGGAATACAAATCTAAGGTTTTCAGCAGAAAGCAGGACAAATCAAAACGGTTCCCAATATAAAACAAATACTGTACACCAGCAAAGACATTTCATTACACGATTATAGTTGATCAGTCCGTAGTGCAAAAAGTAAAAAAAGTGCAATTGTGGTTAGTGCCAGCAGGGGGCTAAGTGAAATCAGAGAAATTCAAAGTACTTATTCCTGTCCTGTTGCAGTGATTAGCGGCATGTAAAATAATTGTGACATTATCATGCAAACTGCTGGCATGATCACACCAGAATGATTAGTCCAGTCCGAGAGCGTGTCGGGCAAACGCTCATAGGCCTCACACCACTCATCAGCATCTGACCTCCCCACACCTCATCACTGGCACATGGCAATGAATTTTAATAGTCTTTGTCAAAACATTTTTTAGAGAAAATCAGGCAAAATACAAGCCTCAAACTAATTGAAATATACAGGTGAATTAGAATTAAAATATTGTTCAAGGGTTTACTAACTTCAGAAATTCAACCTACAACATGAAACTAATAAATGACAGAGGAAAAGCAAGCCTTTGTTTGTTATAATGCTGACGATTGATTTCTCAGATTGTAAAAGCTCCAATAAAACATAATCATCAAAGTTATAACAAAAAAGGCTTTCCATACGTTTCGTGCGTGTAATGAGTCTTTATCATAAATTTTTAGAATTACAAACAAATACAAACATAAATGAACTTTTGAACAGATAAGATAAGATAGACTTTATATTTTATCTCACACAGGAGAAATTTACATTGCACAGAATTGTGCAAACATGTTAAAGGCAAAAAATATATAGTCTGTTCAGGATTTATCATTTACAATTAAAGAAACTTAAATGTAAAAAGTTTCACCTGTACACATGTACAGTGAGCACTATTGTCAGTTATTCGATTTTGGGCCTGAAAATGTATAATTTGCAAGAGTCTTGAAGAATAATGGTTGTAAATAAATTAAATTAAACATACTGCCTGTCAAAAAAACGTTAAAAAAATAAATATATATACAACAAGGGTTTTGTAGAAGTTTTAGTATGTTGTTCTGGACACCTCATAGGAATGTTCTACGTTGAAAAAAAATCACAATGTGCTCATCTCACTGGTTTTTAAAGGGAGCACATTACTCCATGTTTTAGCCCTCCTCCACTGGATCCCTGTACGTTTCAGAATTGATCGTTTTTAGATTTAACCCCCAAAAGGTTAAGGAGCTTTTTGGTCCGGGTTCTTTGGCTCAGGACCATCTTTGGCATCAGAACCATCTTCTAAATATTTTTTCTATAACACACTTTTGAAATGTCTTTTCATTATCCCTGTTCTTATGATTGGATCAGATTTGAATATTGTCTGTTGTTGGCATCACTTATCAAAAAAAAAAAGGCTGCTATAGAAATATTTGTATTAAATTATGATCCTCTTCAAATGCAGCAGACAGGCCCTGTGTTGCTGGAAATTGAGACCAGGGCTTTCTTGCTGCCTCCTTCAAGTTGAATTTAGCCAAATCAGTCATTTAAGTTAATCAATAAATAGCTCTACCTCAAGGCCCAGTAAACTTTGCACTAACTACAGTACAAACCACTGCCACTGGTTTGTGTGGGGAAGACATGGAGTGGTCGGATGCAGAAAAGTAGCATTACAAACAGGGAGCATTTGCATGACTTTCATCAGCCCATCTGGAGCTGTCAAAGCGGGCTGTTACTGATTGGTTTAGAGGGAAAGTGAAGGAGGCGAGTTGGAGGACGGCGTGCTAAAGCAAGCCGAGGACCGCTGGATGCTCATGTTTGATTAATCAAAGAGGAGCCTATTTTTTTTCCTGCTTTTTCAATGCTCAGGGCTGCAGCGCTGACCAGAAGCACTCTCTGCCTGTGATACAAACAAGATAGATAGGGAACATGAAACGAGCTAGTGTGTGCGCGTATCAGCGAGCCAGCCTCAAGTTTGAATGCATCTTATTATCCTTATCGGAGGCCATAAGACTGCGGTGATGAGGGATGCATTACAATTAATCTAACTTTCTCAGTATCTTGCTTTAACTCGTAGTTCACGCTATGGCAGATTTAGGAGATGATTCAAGATGGCGACTACGTTATAAAGAAAACTTCACTCCATTTTTGCTGTGTTCCGCCATTTGAACGTCTACAAAATGCCAAAGGGAATAATGAACAGTGCCCCGGCAGCTTCGAGCACAAAACCTCAAAGTCCAGAATAACAAACTTTGAGGGCCCAGAGGGCATAGCCATGGCAGCATTCACAATGTTACAGTTGACTGCCAACACCATCTAAACACAGTACATAGGCATTAAACAGCGACTGGCCAGCTCTGCTATTCACTTGGATGTATAATTCAACACCAGTGATTACTGTGGATCTTAGAAAAGCCAGAGAAAGGGAGAGAAGCGGGGGGCAATACACAGTACACAAGAGAGCTGGACACAAGACACATCTTCAGGAAAAAGACAGAGGTGGATAGACAGATGTACAGAGGGAGAGACAGAGTGAATCCAAGCAGCAGACAGCAGAGCGGCTGACACTGCTGCTGTTTAATGTCAGTGCCACTATGAAGTCCGTGCTATCCGGGGCCAAAAACAGTCCGGCGCCTCTGAGGAAATAGTTTGAGACATCTGGAAAGCTAACACAGAAAAAAGAAAGCAGCATGACACAAAACAAGCAGGATGGGCCTCAGAGCAGCAAGCTGTGCAAAACAGTCAAACTCACAAAGAAGAGAGAAAGTGCAAGACAGCTAGACATCAACACACAGTGAGTGATTGATCAGGGAAAGCCTTGGTGGCCAGAGCAGCGGTCAGCGTGCATACAGAGGCAGGTCAGCGGACAACCGTGAGGGTCCACTGCATGCACCGTCAGAGTTCTGTATAACGGATGAGAGAGTGTGAAAACTCCAGACAGAACTCCCACAGTTCATTATTACAGAGGGATAATTGCGCATGTGTGTTTGCTCTTTAGTTTACACCACGGATGAATGTGATTACACACAATTAAAACAAAGCGGCTTGGTGTTATCACAGCCCAGCTCTGGTGCCAGCAGCATGTGCCAAGAAACACAGAGATCGGGCCAATCCCCTGAGCTAACCCCTGCTAGCTTATGCCTTTTATTTCCAGTGTTCAGGGGCTGTTTAGGAGGCTAATTTCACAGGCAAACAGATTATGTTAATCCATGTAAACATTCAAACACAACAGCTTGACTGTTTTCCGGGGGGGAATAAACAGTTGAGAGTGAACATATTGATTTGGAGTGGAGCTGTCTGTAAATAGGAAGACAAAAGCCGTAATGAGACAGACTTGTTGAGTAGTTGTTTTGCACTCTTTCTCCTCTATTCTTTATAAATTAAGATGTTGAAAACAACGCGTCTGGAATAATAGTGCAGCCACTCTGTTTGTTTGCATATATCACAACTTCTGCATATTTCAAGTCAAATAGAGCTTTATGTGCATTGTCGTGCATCAACCTTTTACATTAAAAACCCACAAGCAAGCAAAGAGACGCACATTTTTCCTTCATAAATCCAGCAGCTTTGTGCTTTGTTCATCAGAAAAACCCGGACCACCAACAGATACTTTTGTACTTTTTACACAGGAATTACTTCATATTTATTTTATGTTAATAATAACAATTATAATGCTTCGATTTTATTCAGAGCTTTTATATTTTGTAACTTTGTCATTATTTTTTCACTCAATACATGGTGATAAACTACTGCTGTGGCCACAGCTGCCATGGGGCACAGATTATCCTTTATTCGTCCCGCAGTGGGGACATTTCAGTTTGATGAATACACATCAAGGCATGCAGCGTACAATTACTTCCGTGCTCCTTATAGGCAAAGTAGGGTAAAGTGTCTTGCCCAAGGGTACAACAACAGGAGACATCAATGGAAGTTGGTAGAGAACCCTCGACCTTCCTCTACCAAGTTTTTGGTATCAAATGTATGAAAACAATATCCAGCAACATGATCACATCAGAGAGTGTACTTGATGAACAATAGGCATCTCCTCAAAAGCAGATGTGGGTTAATGATAGCTGGGGTGGTGCTGACGGGATGTAGGCATGTCAAAAGGACCCACGGAGGTGTGAGGGCCACTCAGGGGCCCGATATGCTTTTTAATAGGCCCCCTGTGCGCTCCAGACTCGTTAGATGGTCACACCTATCTCCCGAATGCAGAGAGCCCAGCCCAGCACCTTCATTACTGGACTCACCTCGGCCTTGCACCTGACAAAGTGACGGCCTCCCTGCATGGCAAACACTCTATTTGACTTGTTGTTAAGACAAATAAAAGCCCTGTGAGCTGCATGAGTTGTCATGTTCCAGACAGGAGTGGTAAATATGAGAGGTCATGCTCAGACATTCATTAAAGGGTGAGAGGAGGTCGGCTTATGTTTTCAGGACTTGAATCGCAGAGATCATGTATAAAGGGCTGACCTAAGGCTCCAAAACTTTACACACCCAGTCAGAGATGTCATTGTTTTGACTGTTACACTATTTTGGAGATTTTTAATGATAACACAGAAACCTTCTGTCCACTTTGTTAGTGGTTGGGTTAAGCCATATATTGGAAATAGGGATGCAATTCGCAAATATTGATTTTGGTAATGATTTATTTATTTATCCATTATTCTTCGTTTTCATAGATATGATATTCTGAGTGCTGATATGATGTGTAAAGTGAAATTTAGCTGAGGGGAGAATATTTTTTACCAAAAATTCCTAATCATTTGGATGATATTCCAGTACCAGTACTAAAATCGCAATTCACAATCCTGTGTGTGTATACAGCAGTTAACCATTAATCACTACCAACGTGAGTGAACTTAGTTTTGAATTATCTATTCATCGTTACAGCTCTGACTGTCAGATAAAACGTCATTTCTATTTTAACTTTTTATATGAGTGGGAAAAAGTGTTTGCTTCATTCATAATCTCTGAAATATGTACAAAGATATCTGAATTGGTGTGTAAACTTTCAAGCACAACTGTATATTTAAACGCTTGGTATTGGTAAGCTTTCTTAAGTGGTTAGTATTGTGTATGCCCTCATGTACCTTCAGGTAGAGGCGGCTTGTGTGAGCTGGTCGAACTGCCTTTACTGCGGCGGCTACTGTCACTGTTGACGGACAGACTGGACCGCAGCTTTCTCTGCATCTTCTGGGACACAGACCCGGAGGAGGGCCGAGGCTGCTCCGTCATGGTGGACGAGTGGACCATGGCCGTCCCAGTTCCAGACACAGAGGTGTTTCGGCTGCCATTGGTGCCGCATTTGCACGTGCGCGCGCTCCCGCTCAGTCCCGAGTGGATGCCATTTCCGTTACTCAAGGCGGTTGAGTCGACAGCCTTGTGGTGAAGCTCACTTTGGTCTTTGGTGTCATCTTTTAGAACAACTTCTTTAGACGGCTGCGATGCAGATTGAGGCTGAGCTGCAAAAGAAAATGAGATAATTTACTTATAAATATTTCAACTTTCACTGCAACCTTTCCACACGCTGCTTTCTGTTCTAACAAAGGGAAACTGGAAACAAAACCTTTCCTCAGCAAATCCTTTCTCGCTCTTAATCGTCTTGAATATCGATTAAATGGCAAACATTTCTCTTTGCAATGACAGAAAAAAGAGGAGACATGTGTTCGCCTTATGTGGAAGAAAGACAAAGGCCAGACCCGAAGGCAGCAGTCACATTGCACATGCACGACGCAGCAAAGTAAAAGAACCAAGTGTACGCGAGATTAATGTGGGGAACAAGAAAGGTGGATCCTGTGATAGTGCGCATATACAAAAAACTCTGGCATCTGCTGCCGTAATGATCTAGTCCTCTGTTGAAGCGCAGAGATGGCCTGAACTAGTCTTTTTGACAGCCACAGACACTTGGAGACAGCAGCGACCTGTCTGATAAGGAAGAAGTGAGCGAGGAAAGAAGGTGGCATTTCCCCGAGACGAGCACCTGCAAATTCAGCTCTACTGGGACTCCCCGACATTACCTTCACTCCAGATCACAGCCCTGGCTCCTACAACTTTAGATTTGAATTATTCATTCTTTTTTAAGTCAGGCTCTGTTAACCGTTGCCGTTCGGCATCCCATACTTTGCCGATATATATGTATACGTTGAGCAGATGGGAAAGCTTGACAAATGTAGTCAGGATTTTGAGTATAGGTTTTTATTAAGAAGAAGAGAAGGTGTATCAAAGCAAGGTATGGCTGAGAATGGTTTGCTCTGATCTCGAGCAAATTAACTCTATCTCACAATTTTCTGTCAAGTAATCTTTATTTATATGGCACATTTTACAGACCAAGGTCACCCAGGACCACCCTCACTCCAGCCAATCAGTCCAAAGCGTCAAATAGTGATTACCAGGCCTGTTCTTTTTACACGTATGGAAAAAATGGCATTCTTTAAATGATGGAAAGAATATGTTTTAAGAGTTCCTTGGTTTTGGTCTGATTTGTTAATAATGATTTACTTTAAGGACAAACCCCACTTTGCCTGAAGCCCCCGCTGAAAGATCAAGGCTGTGCCATAGAGCGGCCATCCTCCTGTGGGCTCACCACCTGCAGGAGGATCAGTGAGTGGCTGGTGCTATGTTTACTGGGTGGCATCTCTGGCTACCCCCCTGAAATGGATTAAGGGGCAGAAAATGGATGGATGGACGGTGGCCTGTTATGATAATAAATGATGGATATTGTATTCCTACATAAAATACCTACAGCTACAAGTTCATCTTGTATCCGTAACAAAGAAATAACCAAAGAATATACATTTGCAAAAAAAAGTACAGCTGATAATAGTAAAACCCAAATACTGTCCCATGCACCAATTACAGTATTGAATTTGAATCCAAAATATGAATGTCAGAGTTCTATAAGCAGTGTATGGATGAATCCAAATGTTGATTGGCTTTATTATTAGCCGATGGCTCTGTTATTTCAATCAGAAAGGCCTGCTAGGGATCTTTATCTATATAGCACACACAGGGTCACATAAAGCTGTTTACAATCAGTTTGCTGTTTGCTTTCTCTGCATCCCCATATCAGTCAAAAATAAATAAATAAATATATATGTATACAGTGCCTTGCGAAAGTATTCGGCCCCCTTGAACCTTTCAACCTTTCGCCACATTTCAAGCTTCAAACATAAAGATATAAAAATTACATTTCTTGTCACGAATCAACAACAAGTTGGACACAATCGTGAAGTGGAACTAAATTTATTGGATAATTTAAACTTTTTTAACAAATAAAAAACTGAAAAGTGGGGCGTGCAATATTATTCGGCCCCCTTGCGCTAATACTTTGTAGCGCCACCTTTTGCTGCAATTACAGCTGCAAGTCGCTTGGGGTATGTCTCTATCAGTTTTGCACATCGAGAGTAGGGCCGGGCGATTAATCGATTTTAATCATTAATTCGAGTTTTACGTTTAGGGCGATTTCTTTTTTTTAAAATTCGATTTTTATTTTCTCCATCGCAGAACTACAGCGCTAACGCGCTAACCGCGGGTCTATGGTGTTGAGCAGTCATTTTGAAGCTAACCTAATGCTAACAGTCTCCCTCTGGCCTGAGGCTCGCTCTCACAGTTGGTGCTGTTGCAATAACACTTCAAACCTTCAAGAATCAGACTTTATTTAATCGCCAAAACACACACACACACGCACGCAGGCTCCGGTCGCTATGTTCGTACGCCATGTTTGTACGCCACATCTTTCACGCTCTCTCACGCTCGTTATTCCAAAGCGCACTCCCGTGTCCGTGGCGCGCACACACTCGTGTCCCACTGAGCCGCTGCACTTTGGGGAAAGACACGTCTCACACATTGCTCTCATTGCTCTGATACAAACAACGTGTTCCCCGCTGTCTGTTAGCTACAGTAGCTGTTAGCTACAGTAGCTGCTTAGCTTACAGCATCAGAATGTAAACAGGAAGCTCGCACAATGCGGGAGTCACTGAAGTTAGTATTAGCGCCACCAGCTGGACCGAGCGTTGTACTACAGCACAGTTACTCAGGCACAGTTGAAAGAACAAGCATGAAAACCCGAGGAGGCTTTTGGAAAAGACTGTCTGTTACAACATTTCTATTTTGAGTAATCAGTTTTAAAAATGTGATATTTCATGTAAATAATGCATGTGTTTAATAGGATTGATATATTTGCGATGGGCCTTGTTTGTGTGATTTAAGTTATTTTGAAGGTGCATAGTGTCATTGTAAGTGAAGGTATTATAAAACTGTTAAGCTACATTTTCACTGTTTACAATGGCAGAGCCATCTCGTTTACAAGCATGTTTTAAGGCTTAATTCCTGTTACACTTATGCTCCATGGGGATTTAGATTAAACTGCATAAAGGAAAATCTATTTCTTTGTCAGTTGTAGTTTGTTTTTAAATAGAAAAAAATAAATCGATTAAAATCGAAAATCGGATTTGGTGTGAAAAAATCGGAGATTTTTTTTTTTTGCCATATCGCCCAGCCCTAATCGAGAGACTGGAATTCTTGCCCATTCTTCCTTGCGAAACAGCTCGAGCTCAGTGAGGTTGAATGGAGAGCGTTTTTGAACAGCAGTCTTCAGCTCTTTCCACAGATTCTCGATTGGATTCAGGTCTGGACTTTGACTTGGCCATTCTAACACCTGGATACGTCTATTTGTGAACCATTCCGTTGTAGATTTGGCTTTATGTTTTGGATCATTGTCCTGTTGGAAGATAAATCTCCGTCCCAGTCTCAGGTCTTTTGCAGACTCCAACAGGTTTTCTTCCAGAATGGTCCTGTATTTGGCTCCATCCATCTTCCCATCAATTTTAGCCATCTTCCCTGTCCCTGCTGAAGAAAAGCAGGCCCAAACCACGATGCTGCCACCACCATGTTTGACAGTGGGGATGGTGTGTCCAGGGTGATGAGCTGTGTTGCTTTTACGCCAAACATATCGTCTTGAATTGTGGCCATAAAGTTAGATTTTGGTTTCATCTGACCAGAGCACCTTCTTCCACATGTTTGGTGTGTCTCCCAGGTGGCTTGTGGCAAACTTTAAACAAGACTTTTTATGGATATCTTTGAGAAAGGCCAGATTTGTGCAGTGCACGACTGATTGTTGTCCTATGGACAGACTCTCCCACCTCAGCTGTAGTTATCTGCAGTTCATCCAGAGTGATCATGGGCCTCTTGGCTGCATCTCTGATCAGTCTTCTCCTTGTTTGAGATGAAAGTTTGGAGCGACGGCCGGGTCTTGGTAGATTTGCAGTGGTCTGATACTCCTTCAATTTCAATATAATTGCTTGCACAAGTGCTCCTTGAGATGTTTAAAGCTTGGGAAATCTTTTTGTATCCAAATCCGGCTTTAAACTTCTCCACAACAGTATCTCGGACCTGCCTGGTGTGTTCCTTTGTCTTCATGGTTCTCTCTGCGCTTTAAACAGAACCCTGAGACTATCAAAGAGCAGGTGCATTTATACGGAGACTTGATTACACACAGGTGCATTCTATTTATCATCATCAGTCATTTAGGACAACATTGGATCATTCAAAGATCCTCACTGAACTTCTGGACTGAGTTTGCTGCACTGAAAGTAAAGGGGCCGAATAATATTGCACGCCCCACTTTTCAGTTTTGTATTTGTTAAAAAAGTTTTAATTATCCAATGAATTTTGTTCCACTTCACGATTGTGTCCCACTTGTTGTTCGTTCATGACAAAAAATTAAAATTTTATATCTTTATGTTTGAAGCCTGAAATGTGGCGAAATGTTGAAATACTTTCGCAAGGCACTGTGTATTGCTAGTTATTTAGCCGACACTACTGAAAATAATTCCCTTATACGCAAATTGTCAATGTTTTTGCACCAACCAATACAAGAAAACTCACAGGAATGGGCCAGTGCAGGAACAAAGCAATTAAAAACACAGCAGCTCTCACTACTCTTCATTCAGCCATCCGCATGCAGCTTCAATAAACAAATGTGGACTTAAGGGATCAGAGCACCATGCGATTTGAATTAGACAACGAGGCACCTCCAGATCGAATTCATTATGCAGTGATTTCGAGGCAGACCTGGATTAAGCTTTGAAAACAAAAGCCTTGCCATGACAGCACGCTGAGAGACATATTCTAACAAGGAGATCTATAAACCATATATCATCCTGTTACTATGTGCTTATGGAAGATTTTCTAATTAACAGACCAGATATTAACTCAAAACGCTCATATGGGATGCATCCATCAACCGCATGTGGCCCACAGACCAAAGATAAAGCTGGGTACCTAACTTTCATACCACAAATAATTGAACTCCATCCATCCATCCATCTTCTTCCCCTTCATCCATTTCTGGGTCAGGGGGGTGGCAGTCAGAGCTGCACCCAATTCACTTAGCACCAGCCCCTCACTGATCCTCTGCAGGTGGTGAGTCCACAGGAGGACGGCTGCTCTGTCAGTGACAATA